TATCTGGCTTCAAGTTTAATTTTGATTGAAAAGAGCCCTTAATGGAAATCTGCTTGCAGTAAACTTTCAGTTGAAATTAACATATCAAAAACGTTTCGTGTGCCATGGATAAAGGTTAAAAGGAGCCCACAGTTTTCTCTATTGAAGAAAGCCCAAGAATAGACCGGACAATTATTTGCAATAGTTTAACGATTACATCCACTAGATTTTTTTGCCCTTTCTATAATTAACGATAGACATGAACGACAGAATGGAAGTTCGCTCTCAAAACGTATTCATGATGAAAGCAATAAAATACATGTCGCGAACTTTTAATAAATAATTAAAAATCAATTGAACGTAAAATATTACAAGTTACAAGACAGCTTTACAGCTTATCTATAAGTGAGAGTAGACAGGTATGCGAGCCAACGTTTGCGCTTGTGCAAAGTATTTAAATCCAGATATTTCGCTTTTTACATTAATTTTAAAATGTTGGTTGAAAACTTTTATTGAAAATGTCAAAATAGTTAGTTTATTGGGATTGGCTGACTGATGGTTAGCTATGCATGATCAGACGATTTTATTATTCATCGAAACGTGCAAACAAATGAGTACATACTTATGCCAAAATTACAACAATGTTTTGTCCCATCAGTTTGATTGCCAATAAAATGGTAAAAGTTACGATATATGAAAAACAAGTCAACAAGAAAAATTTATTCTAACGTTGAGGCGAATTTTCGATACGCACTAATTGATCGAACTCAATGTTTTATAATGCATTTACATATGATGATCGTAACATTGAAGATCCATATGTATTAACTTAGCTAGCCACTAACACGAATAAACTCAATAGACGAAAGAATCCGTGCGAACACAAATATATGCATATACGAAGTGGTGGGCGTATAAATGGTAGAATAAATGGTATGCACGGCCAGGGAAACGTGTGAGAGAAGAGACATACCAACGGATGGACTTAAAACTGGATAAATATATGGAAACTTGAGCTTTCAATGAGGTAGACATATGAGGTAATGCAAAAATAAATCTACAATCAGAAGGACAAATCGGGTAAATGATTTTTGAACATACAGAAGTGATTTGTTCACTACGTCAAGGTGTTCGGGTTGCTACATGCTGAACTGAGCAAGAAGTTTGCTTCGCAGTACTTCAGGCCGGATTTTGTTATCACAATTATAAAGAAAGTACAAAGACAGGCCAATGTGAGGATACTTGACTTATGAGACTCACATAGGAATGCGTAAAGGTAAGCACACCAAGAGATGCATTTTCATGCAAAATGACGTCCGCGACGTAGGAGCTTATATGCTAAATCAAAAAATCGATCTTCTCTAAGGCGTATTTTCGAGTATTGTGCATGGAATGCCAAAATAAATATATTCGCTGTTGGTGATGGTTATGAACGGTAACGAAGGCTGCATTTTTAAGTACAACAACTTGAAGTGGTAGCAAAAAGTCTGCCTGTATTTAACAACGTTACACACCAACAACAAACCAAACATTAAGCGACCAAAGAAGTAATTTGCATACGTCGCTTTGGTATTTACTATCTGGTGGAAAAGACAAAAACAAAAGCAAAATAAAAAAAAAAAGAAATTCAAACAGCAACGCACAACCCTGGCAAAGTTATTTGCTCATAAATGCTACCGATTGGCATGATATCATAAAGCATATGTACATATGCACACATACTCACGTGCACACACTCTTTCGCACTTTTACACAATCTCTGACGATTTTAAATAATTCATCAAGAGACATCGCAAAAAGAACGAACAGCAAGGAAAAGAAAGAAAGAAACAGTAGACGAAGGAAACGTTGCGCTTATCAATCAACAATTTTTACACAGCCAAGGCATTATCAAGCTTGTTTATTATGCAATCAGCGTATCGGTGCTGCGTGCCTGTGTGTGTGTGCCTAAGTGTGTGTGCGTACGTATGTGTGTGTGTGTGTGTGTGTCTACCTGTTAAATAAAAATATTTTCTTTATAAATATTGACATAACAAATATTTAAAGGAAGCGCAGAGAGAAGCGAAGAAAGAAAGAGTAAAGTGACGATATTACAAATATTTCATATTACGGTTTATTGCAGGTGGTTTCGCTGGATATCTTATGGAACAGCCAAAAGGAACTGTTCTTTTCTGAACACGTACACCAGATAACGCATTATATATACACATGCATGTAAAGAAAGAAAAAAAATATAGTACGACTCTACAAAAAAAGAAAGAAATTATATATAACTTAGTGTGAATATTTTAATACTAACACAATGGCTTCGCGTACAGCGTAAGCGAGAAAAGTTTCCAATGCATTACATGTATTATATGACATAGTTTATTCGTTATAGATAAATATATATATATATATAGGAACAGATTACTTGATTTCAATAATATTTCAATGATAACAAAGTTATGAATATTCAGATTTCAGAGAATTATTGAACCTTGATCTTACGTAACTCCTACTAGTAAACTAAATACTTTAGATAGATTTCGATACTTGGGTGTGGATATGTAGATAATCGAATTCTTATTGCAAAAAATTCAGCAGACATAATTCACTTATGAACTATTGCCGCTTTAGGAAGCCGGTTAAATGTAACAGATTTTATGACTAACTAAGTAGATTTTGGTTTCTCTGATCAATGCTCAGAAATTTTTACAATGTATTTATATATATATATGATACACGAATCCAAAAGACGTTATTTGGAATCAGTTGACCCTTTCATGATCATTCTATTAGTAAGTTATTTACCACACTTGTTAGATCCTCATTGGAGAGTTTCGTGGCAGCGTGGCTGCTGAGCTACAGATGCTGTGTCGATCAGACTTAAGTTTTTCCAAATTTGCTTTGCTTCCCTTTGCCACCTTATGAGATTCGTCTTAAATTTGTTTACCTTCCTTGTTTGGAGAATATAAGTAGCTAATTAGACGTCTCGTTTGTTATAAAAATTTAACCGCGGAGAGTGTAATCCGCCGATTTAATTGGACGAAATTGACGAAGTTCATACCCCCGTAACCTGTAATTATGCACTCATTAGGCTGCGCACTCCGCATTTTAATGATCAATTTTGTTGTTGTTGCTATAGGTTGCTACGGTTGAGGAACTCTGTAACATTGTAACTTGGATGGGATTATTTTGACGGGATACGGGATTTCATTAGTATATTCGGGAGTTTTCTCGGATACCGAATACTGGCATATATTTTACATCTATAGGCTTGTATATGTGATAAATTTAATCAACTCTGATGTATAGACATTGGATAAATGATTCAAGTGGAATTTATTTTGTGAATATATTTTTTTCTTTTATTCATTCTGAATTAGTTGTACAGCAAGTAATGTAACTAATTTTAATCTGTTTAAATAATAAAAGTAATAATAATTCACTGCATAAAACGTTAAGGAAAACCTTATGCACATATCTGTTGTTTTTTCTATACGAATTCTGAAGTCAAAAAAAGCGACATTCAAATATATTAACAAAATAGGTCATGTCCAGTGCTCTAAGCACACGTCAAAGATTCTACGCGAAGAAGAAGCAACTTGAACAAAAACTTCTAATAATTAGGAGTAAAACCAAAAAATTATTCACTCTGTGGTAAAAGTAAAGTTTAGACTGGTTATAAACCTCTAATTTTAAATTGATTTAGATCAGATATCCCGCCATTACCGTAGATTGGTGGTATATTCATTCTGCCGCAAAACCAACCAGCATTCTTCAAGGACTTCTTAAGCATATTTCACACTTTTTATTAATATCAAATTCCGCAGCGATCTAAGCATGCAGGTCTGCACGTCTGTTCGTTTTTCCGTGGGCGCTAGAACACTTCCCGGCCGCAAAAATTAATATATCGAGGTCATATTTCGAAAAGTTATTAGAAGTTTTGACAGACAAAACGGTCTAAGCATAGGCCTGCAGGGCAACGTACATTTAGAACCTCTCTGTTTCCGAAAGGAAAATAATTTCGGTTTTTTTCGTAAACTACGACAGATGTAATTCCTCGTTTCCACGTATATTCTGCAAGTGATTCTCCTATAACTGCAAAGAAATGGAAAAAATCATCTACATCCATCATCAACATCACCCATCATCATCGAGATTTCATTTTTTTTTTTTTTTTTTTGTTTTGTAAGAGATAAAGGTGTTGGGCATAAAAGATTCGGCCAAAGCCGAATATAATTCACTTGTGTTTTTATTATGCTATTTTCTGCTACTTAAGCATATGGTGACTCGTAATATTAGCATGTCGCTGATCCGAATCAAAGCTTGACTGTGTATCTCTTTCAGCGCTAATTGCGTGCAGAAATTTCAAATGACAAAGCGTTGTCTTAAATCTGATAATTTTAAAGAAATGTAAACTGTTAAAAAAATGCAAAGCATTTTGATCCACCATGTACGGGATGTGTCTTACTTAAATATTAAGGGCAGAATTGTTGTTTAGCATTAAAATATTGTTTGCTGTTGGCTTGGACGACTTGTTACAAATATGTTACTTAATTAGAGGCCAATAAAACTCATTAAAAACACATCCGCTTCACGATATAAAACCTAAATCTTGAACTTTAATTCTTTGTACGGAATTTTTAATAAATTAATTTAAAAAAGTATTCTTGGTATTTACACTGCCGGCATATTAATGCCGCCGTAAAGCAATAGTGGGTTCTTGTTGAAATAAAAAAAGTAAGCAAAAAGAAAAAAATCATTCATTTTTTTTACGACCGCCATCACCATCACAACCATGATGACTTGGTGTCGCCACAAAGAAAGCGGCTTTAAGCTTTGAAGTTTAGCTTAACATTAAAGCTTTCTTTGAAAATAAAAAAATAAAAAAAATACGGACGTAAATATTTATGATTAGTTTGAGAGAAGTTCAGCGTGTTACCAAACAGTTCATTGACTCAAAGGATTATTATTTTTTTTTTTTTTCAAAATTTATATTAAAAATTTTTCTTTATATTATTTTACTTCTCTTCCAGCAAATAATGGTTTCGCGCCGGAAAATATTGTCACGTTCTAGAGATGATCTAAATTTGGATCAGACATTTAGTCCGCAAGAAGAAGAAGAAGATGTTTGGTATCAAAAAGAAAAATTATATAAAGTGAGTACCAGAAAAAATATCTTAACTAAATACTAAGAAAAAAAAAAACAAACGAATAAAAAGTAATTCAAAAGAAAAGGGAGAAGGAAAAATGGAATATTTATGTTTGATAGAAATTAATGCAAATATTTTACGTAAATCATGTAATTCAAATCAGATATGTAGCATAATCAGATCTGAGGTCGTAGTAATCATCTGATAATGACGGATGAGAACGCTTCCCCCCTATGATAGTATAATCTAATTCAATCATATCACAATTGTCGAATTGATTAGAAATATTGCCTAATGACGGGATACTGAATAACGATAGTATCCGGACTGCGACAAATAATTTTTTTTTGTGTTATACAACCAATCACTCATTCGTGTAACACGTCAACTGCCAAAAGGAAGAGAGAGAAGAGAAGGAAATAAGGAGTTGGTGGCCACAGTCCTAATGGATAAGTGCTATGCTCTCACCGATTGGGCACTCAATGTAGTGACAACTGAAGAAAACTCTAAAGAACTTGAAATAGCGATATGTAAAGCTTTTATTCATTAGGGAGCCCACATGCTTATATGGCGAATCGGAGAAACTTGTGCAGGACGGAAAAGGATACTATATAACAAAATGGCAAATATCAGGTGGATTCTTGAGTGAATTATGCAAAGTAGATAAGGCTACGGACTGCGGACTTTGCACGATAGCATTATACGTTATGGCTGATTGTTGGTTAATGCAATAGTAGGGATAGAAATTAATTTGGATCTTGGTGCAACTCGTCTAGCATCACCAGGATCCTCAGGGCCCTTTTCCGTAGCAAGTGGTGAGGAAAATTTTCCTACCTATTCCATATGCTATTTCGTAGGCTGCATATTTTTGAAACTACCTGTCATTTATAAATAAGAATATTATCCTCTATCCCAAAATGTATTAATATTTTTTTGGACGTTGTAAGAATGCATCCATGCCTATTATAAAATACTTACTCTTTACGGTGCATGCATGTCCGCATTTATTTACCAGGCACTCAAGGGTTTTGTTTAGCGGGCACGGTGATGCTTAGAAAGATTAGTAAGTAAGGACGGAAGGCAGAGGGGATTAGTATTTGTATAGATTGCTCCTTGTGTTGTTCGTGGTGTTGAGAATAAAAGCAGCTTTTACAGCTTCAAAGCTTATGCTTCAAAGCATTTGTAAAAAATCATTTAAAATTCTAAATCATTAATGTACAGCGCGATAAATAGGCAAAACCGACTTTTGAACACCACCACTTTGAATCACCACTTTGCCTAATACAATATTTAACCTATTGTCGTAACAAAATACTGAAACTAGTGTTCCATCTCACCTTGTAAAGGTTTAATTTTCATAAGCGCACTAATCTAGAAGACGTCAAGTGCCACAATCGAAAGTATAAATACTTGTTTCGTCAAAAAACTTATTAACTTTCAGTTATTAAAGTAAATAAATGAGACGATGCTGTACAAATAAAGGCTTAGTCTTTACGGAAATCCCTATAAGGTAGGGTGAGCTCTGTGCATTTACTTATCAAATTACTGGTTTCGATGCATTTACTTATCGAACTACCGGTTTCGATCGTTTTTATTCAACAAATCCAAAAAATTAAATGCTTTCGCCATAGGAAGGCTTACTTTTTCACAAGGGATGGGTAAGCAAGAAATAAAAGTAAGACCATAGGTGATGCCTTTATATGTCAAACTACTATTCTATGCCAATGTTCATTATCAAATACGAAAACGTAAATCTCCATGCAAAGCACTGGCTTATCTTTTATGGCAACTCTTGAACGGAAGAAAGTTTCAAAAATAGACGCAAAGGTTTAAAATTTAACAAACTATTGTAATCCTATTTTTTCTTTTTTATATTACAGGGAATTAGGTTCAAAGAATTCTATCATTTGATCCAAGTTGTCCGTCCCTATCCTTCTAGTATGCCAAAATGCTAGTTTTTAAACGATTTTAGTCCGAAGATGGTAAATTTTTTTCAAATGACGAATTTTCCATATTGGGGCAGCGTAGGTAGGGTAACCGTATAAACGCTCCGATCCATTCCATTTCGAATACCTTTCGTCGTTGGGCCAAAACAAACCAGTGTCCGGAATTTTGTAAAAATATCTCAAGCCTTGTGACCTGTAGATTGAACACAGAAATATATGGTCAGACACAAGAAGGACGCACTGGCCGACAAAATTCGAATGTGATTTTTTGTCGATCAAAAAGTGCATTCATTGAAATTTGCAACATTTGTAAAAGTAACAGTAATGACCGATCGCAAAATGTGAAGGATAAGTCATCAGTGTCTCTAAAACAAAATTCAGCTTTCACAAGCCTTCAGGAACTGAGGTTAATAAAAATCTGCATAACTGCAGAGGGGGGAAAATCTATAGGCGGTACAAGTAGCTGCAATGTCACTCGAGGCTGCGGCTTATATCTCCTTAATGCATACACAGCTTTACTTGTATCATATAAAACCTAACGGTTTATAATGTAATTGAGCCGTTAACAACGTTTTCATTTTATTTATTTATTTAATTTTTTTTTTTTTTGGTTATTCGTGACTGTACCATAACTAAGCAAGAATACGTGTGTAGACAACACAAAGGTTTATTATGCATTTGTTGTGCTTTTGGTGGTCACGTCAACATTGTACGCACATTTTAAAAATGGTGTCAAGAATCGTACGTATGCGTGCTAAGTGTTTAATGTAAAAAGAAAAAAAAAACATACTAAATTAGGTCAATTGTTTTTTGCTTTTTTTTTTATGTGCATTTATTTAAAACACAAAATGTTGAATATTCACTTAAAATGTATATTCGTAACACTTAAGAATAGATGGCTTTTTCGGTATGTCTTTCAATTTTCTACCAAAATTCCTAATATAAAAGAAAAAAACAAAAGGACACACTATTGTGAGTCAACATTAAAACCATTACAATATCCTATAGTTGTTCATATCAAAAGTTTTCAAAATAAGGCGTTATATAGAAAGTGATCGAAAAAGTGGTCGGAACCAAACCATTTGGTGTATGTCCTTCCAATTTCCCAATTTCTTTCCAATTGGGAAGAAGGCCGAACACAAGCAAACGATGTTGACAGACGGACAGACAAATTTAAATCGAAATGAAAAATAATTCCAAATCGATCGATACAATAAAAAGTGCATCCATCCCCCTTTTGCGTGTTCCGTACATTCGTACAAATTTAATATACTTTCATATTACAAATGGTGTACGATATAAAAACATTTCAAGCAGTTAAAGACAAAAAAAATTTTATGAAAAAGTTTTTGTAAAAATTTAAAAAGCTCCAAAGTATTTATTCGACACTAAAACGCCTACATTTATAAAAACCATTAAGCCATAGAAAATTCGACGATACCATTATATGGTTTTCTTTGTCTGTTTAACGTCGTGTATGCCCTTGCCATAGTCACAAAGGTGACCTTCCACTACTAGAGATGATTCTAAGCTGCAGACCATAAGCTGAAGATTTGAGAGAAGCGCGTAATCAACCGCCTGTTGTAATTTTTGACATTGACTCTCATATAATACATTCAGTTGTAGCTTCTATGACTATATTTAGGATAACATTTCAAATTTCTATGTTATTAGGTAACAAATTAAAATCTGTAACAGCAGTCTATATCACTTTAAGAGGATTCATTTTATTATTTAATTATTTATTCGGGCGTTGCAAACGTAATACATCAATTTATCGATAAGCAGGCGGTGTTGCGTGTACAAATTGCATTAAATAGAATTTCAACTAAAGTTACTCGATTGTACAACATTTTTAAAGTTGCTTTATATAAGAAAGTTGCAAATACAACAAGTAAAGGCATTATAGTGGGCTATGGCCCACCCTTAAATACCCCACACTATTCTGCTTCAACTCTTTCAACATTTTCAATAACCAACGACCGATATACCAAATTCCATTAAAATATCTTAAAAATTGCGATCTTTAGATTGTTGTTAGGGCAGACAAGCTTAAATCGATTCGAAAACATTTTCTGACGAGTTTATCTCAACTCCTTCTGCTTATTATATACTTGAGCAATATATCTTTATACCATAAGTGGCGTAGGGTATGAAAAAAGAAAATATGTTAACTTCTTCTCAAAAATTAATTATCAATAAATGAAAAATCTAAAAACAACATTCTTGACGTAAATATTTTATAAGAGAACATGTTAACCTTTTCTTTATTATTACAACAAAATATCATATCATATAAATATATGTATAAGTGTACTGTGGGTGTGTATGTGGATGTATAACGATTTTAAATTTCATTTAACTTGTTTTTTTTTTTTTTTTTTTTTTTTTTTCTTTTATAAAACAACAACTCTTGATGTCATTGTAAAGTAAAACTTGTTCAACTACATAGAATATAAGTTTATATAGATATGTACGCATATAGTAAATACATGCGCATGCTTGTTTAAGACGAGCTCTTGTTTAATACAAGAACTCGTCAGATAATACAGAGGAAAAGTACGAAGAAGACTCAGTAGACGATACGATATGAGTAGAATTGCTTAGTTATGTATTTTTTGTTGTTTGTTTTTTTATTATTATTTATTTGTTTTTTTTATTTAAATGTTAACTAAAGTAATAAAATTATAATGAAAAGCTTATCATTAAAAATGAACACACACATAGGCGCACATATATACCGATAGGAATGTATTCAAATCATGTTCCATAGCCGTGACATATTTGTTCGTGTGTTTATGCTTGTACTTATTTAGTTTTCTTTTTTGTCTTTAGTTTTAGTTATATAATGACGCCCTAGATGAACTTAAAAATAGTTTCCATTTAAAATATTTATACTTTAAAAAGTATATATATTTCGTATACATAAGCGGTTAAAGATAAAGTTTTTTTTAAGAATTTCTTCAAAGCCAATATTTTTGTTTCAAACTGAATAGACTTTAAAACGTTCGTTCCTCTCTTATTTAATGCTGTGATCAATCCATTTAAATACTGCATTGT